CCCTCAAATAAAGTAAGAGTAATTATAGCTAAAACACAGAGTTGGTAAGAACAGAATATGTCGTGCTGAGCGCCCTGGCTCACGCCTGTAATCCCAGCACTTTGGGAGGCCGAGGCAGGCAGATCATGAGGTCAGGAGATCGAGACCATCCTGGCTAACACGGTGAAACCCCGTCTCTACTAAAAATACAAAAAATTAGCCCGGCGTGGTTGTGGGTGCCTGTAGTCCCAGCTCCTTAGGAGGCTGAGGCAGGAGAATGGCGTGAACCTGGGAGGCGGAGCATGCAGTGAGCCCAGATCACGTCACTGCACTCCAGCCTGGGCGATAGAGCGAGACTCCGTCTCAAAAAAAAAAAAAAAAAAAAGAAAAAAAAAAGGTAGTTGAGACCAGCCTGGCCAACATGGTGAAACCCGGTCTCAACTAAGAATACAAAACTTAGCCGGGCATGGTAGCAGGTGCCTGTAATCCCAGCTACTCGGGAGGCTGGGGCAGGAGAATCGCTTGAACCCGGGAGGGGGAGGTTGCAGTGAGCCAAGATGGCGCCACTGCACTCCAGTTTGGGCAACAGAGCAAGACTCCCTCTCGGGAAAAAAAAAAAAAAAAGGAACAGAATATATCAAGCACCTGCTGTACAGCAGTTTCTTATATTCATCTTGTCTTCAACACTAAAATATTAGAACCTCTTTTAACCTTTCAATCTCCACAATCTTTTTAGACTTTTCATTTCCCTAGAATGTATTTCTACCATTAGTGCCATCTCAACTCTAAGAACTTGTCCCATGTGAATTGTGGTCATGCTTAATTATGTGGCAACTCCTTCACTCTGTTTTTCCATAACATTTATCCCCTGTTCATCTTCACTGAAAGCTGTTTTTTCCTTTTCCAGCATCACTTGTCATGTAGCCCTTTTAGTTGAGTCCCTCATTTTCCCAATTACCCAAAGTCATAGGCCATGGAGAAGGACTGGTTATTCTCCTTATCTTCATTTTCCATTCTTCTAAATAATCTCTCATAGTTCTAAGACTACTATATTATATTTTGTGTTTTCCCTCATTTATTTGTAATTTATACCAGTTTCAGTAGTACTCACCGTAACAGACATGTGTGATCCTGTATCACATGCCCTCATTTTAATGGCAACCACAGCTGCATTTTAAACTCAGACTTATTTCATGCTGCTAGCAACTGATGTCTTCTACACACGACAGAGTATACTGGGCTCAATATAAGCACGGCCAGGCCACATAGAGGAGTAGGGTTCCCAGGAGCCCCCACAAATACTGAGGGATTGGAGCTAATAGAGAAATACTACAATGATCCTTATCTCAAATGCATAATTTGGGAAAGCATTCTAGATACTTCCTAGCGGTTGCCTGGATCAAGCCCCCAGGGCTCACACAAATTATCTCAAAAATATTCTGATATTGTCCGGGCACGGTGGCTCACGCCTGTAATCCCAGCACCTTGGGAGGCTGAGGTGGGCAGATCATGAGGTCAGGAGATTGAGACCATTCTGGCTAAGACAGTGACACCCTGTCTCTACTAAAAATACAAATAATTAGCCGGGCGTGGACTATGAGCCTGCAGTCACAGGCAGGAGACTTGCTTGAACCCAGGAGGCGGAGTTTGCAGTGAACTGAGATCACACCACTGTACTCCAGCCTGGGTGACAGAGCGACACTCCATCTCAAAAAATAAATAAATTAATTAATTAATTAATTAAATTCTGATATTAAATCTTCCTACTTCTTCATCTCACTTTCCTTGTCTCCTCACTTTACCTTTTTGGAATCATATCTCAAATAAACTGCCTACACTCATGTTTGTGTACATAGATTCTCCTATTGGGAGAATGCAAATTAAAACACACATACACCTTCAAGTATGTAAGCATGTGACACATTATTGCTATCCCTCTTTTGTCTCCTGTAACCTAATAACATGATCAAGTCCCCTATTTCTTCTCTTTGTTTTGAATCCTGAATACCTCCAGATGTCACTTTGTGTTAAAATATATTGAAGTAGTTCTATGTTACAATTAGCTTCCTCACAAGCTGTCCATTCTTTATTTGTGTAGAAAAGTTATTTTCCTTGCTGTTCTCTCAAACTGCTTCTTAAAATTTATTAAATATATTCCATATGCCAAATTCTATAAGCCATTTTTCTCATTTTCTGTTCTCATTCTCTTTGACATTTCGGAGCTTTGATCACATAGCAAACATCTAGTCATAGTGTCATAGATAGGAGAAATGACAGAAGAGGAAAATCAAAGAGAAAAAGGATGATCTTCTCAAAGCCATACATGGGTAGACATACCAAGCAATAATCTGGAATATGCACAAGATTTACTAAAGCAACGTATTAGTCATTTTTGCATCTGCCAAAGCCCCTAACGGAAAAACAAAAATATGAAGTGGTATGTGAGAAAGCTAAAACATTAAGTGAATAATAAAAGGTGAGCACATATGGATTTTTATAAAGGCTAAAGGCCACTTGAGGATTTGATATTTCTCATCAGAAATTAGCAATGGCCCATGCAAATATTTCTGGTCTTTTTTGGTGCACAGTAGGAAGGGAGGGAGAAATTCAGTGTTGCACATTTGCCATGGTTGCTAAAAGCAATTTTCCCTTATTTGGAAAAAAAAAAAAAAATTAATGTAGAATTGGTGACAGAGTAAAGAGGAAAAATCAAGAGTAGAATATTGTGTATGAACTAGGCATCAATATTCACATAATAACAATTTTGTGAAACAAATAATAATATTGTACAGGGGGTTGGAGAGAGAGATGCAGCATGGATAACCTTGACCAAAAAGCTGAGAGCACCATTTTCCAATCTAATCCTGTCTCAATTACCATGGACATTTCTCCCTTCAGTCTATTTTTATAAAAGTGCAGGTAATTGTTTGACTTAAAAATTGTACTTTTATTGTTCACTTACCTTGCTAAAAATACTTATAAGCTCAGTAGAAATTGCAATCCTTTTAATATTCGAGTGTTTTCTTAGTCTTACGTATTTGGATTGCTTTTTCAAAATGCATGTTGCTTGATGCACTTTTAGAGAGATTTGGCTTCACTATGTGATTAGAACCATTACAAAGTTATGAAGCTCTGAAAACAGGTTCATAGTGGGAATTTTGACATAACCTTAACTATAGGTGACACTGAAATAAATAGAGTCTCTGCTCTGGCTCTGAAGCTGCTTAGTTAAGTGGAAAATGGCTGTGTTAGCTGGGTGTGCAATCATATGAAAGAGTTCAGTAAATTGTTGAGAATGCTCTGCTATCAAGTGCTGGTGCACATGCAGCATTCATGCAGGACTATACATATTTACATTTGAGATTAACTTGTTGATTCTGTGCTTACATTTATAAGACAAGCTTTGAAATATAATGTTTAAATTACATTTCTACTGTAACAGAGTGGGACCTTATTGTATCTAGGGTAAGAGACATGTAGTATATTTTCCTCCTTAAAAGAAGTAATCTGCATTTTGTCTACCCAAGTACAGAATCCATCTATTTAAGCAAAATCTTATCAGCAGGATTTTCCCATTGTCACCTAATAGTTGAAGCTCAATGTTACTGTCATCCTCAAACTCCACAGAATTTTTAGAAGAACAAAGAGTACATGTCTTAGGAGTGGACTTCATCAAACACTGAGGTTCACGTCTTACTAAATGCATATAACTTATGAAATAATTGCTCCTTTTCAAAGAATTGCATGGGTAAAAAATACTTTGGTTTTACTAATGATCCAATATTTACAGCACATCTTCACATGATTAAAATGTAGCACAAAAAATTGGAGTAGGAAAGTCCAATTTTAAGCATATTTTAAGCCAATTTTTATTTACAGAATTTTCTGTTTCATAGCTTAAGACTTATCTGATATATGCTCTGATGGTATTTTCATTACTGTTGGATTATCCTTCATTTATTAAGTCTCTAGGACAATGTTCTATGTTTCATTTGCTATTTTATTAACTTTTAGACATTCTGATACATGTGTGAATATCTTCTAAATAGTAAAATGATGCATAAATACAAGCAGTTATTAAAATTATATACAGTTATGGTTCTTATGAAAAATAAAGGAAAGTTAAAGGTCAACTTTGAGTAATAAATACTTATTTGAGGCCATGAGTATTCTGGTAAACAAGAATTCTATGTTGAGATTTGTTTATGACAGTTCATTTATCCTGCTACTTTTTCAAGATGCATTATATTCCTCTTACCTTACTCATTTTCTTACATAGTTTACATTTCATGGTATATTATTAAAATCAATTATTTGCAAATTCTTAACTCCCAAACTGTTCTGTGTTTATTGTACCAGTGCCCCTTACTCCCACTATTGTTAAAATGAACTACTGAGTACACCAAGTCTCTAATCAATCACGGAGCTGAACGCTGTCATCTTTTTCTGCGTGGACCCTGATCAGTATACTTTCATGGGTCTTCTGTTCTCATCCTGTTTTCCTGCTACACATCTAAGAACTCTCTATTCCTTCAACATTTCTTCCTAGATTATCTCATCCAATGTCTTCAAAGTATTTACTTTCTGTAGACCAATGACTCCCAGATTTTCTATCAATTTATATGCTCTTGAATTCTTATATCCATCATATATCAGCAATTACTGAAGTCATAAATACGAGTCATTCTTGATTTTTAACTTTTTCTCACCACCCTGTTCAATTTTTTAGAAATTATCATTGAATGTACATTTCATCTTCCCAATATTATCTCCTTTGGTGAAGCCTCCATGATTTTTTATTTATACTACATTTAAACAACATAATTATTCTGTGTGAATTCATGCTTGCTTTCTTACAATATATTTGCCACAAAATAGCTATACTCATCCTTTTGATCACTGCCCTAATTAATAATCTTCAAAGACTTCTAATAACACACAGAGTCAACCCAAAATGCTTATAATGACCCCAATACATAAAAACAATAAGGATCAAGCATCTGGCTTTGCATCTGACTTACATTTAAAAGGCGAAGTCCTTACAGTGGCCTTCTGTCAGGGCCAGCAAACTGAAAAAGATCAGATGGTAATATTTCAGACTTTGTGGGCCATTCAGTCTCTGTTGCAACTACTCAACTCTGCTTCGTAGCATGAAATCAGCCATGGCCAATACATAATGAATAGGTATGGCTATATCTTCATACAAGTTTATTTACTAAAACAGGTAGCAGGTTCCTAGGTATAGTTTACTGAGGTATAGTTTACTGATCCTGTACTAAAAGACTACATATATTGTGCTCCTCTAACACACACACACACACACACACACACACACACACACGACACGGGTGATGTTGTTTCTACTTTTCACTCCCTTGCTCACTCTACTGTAATGAGATTTGCTTCCATGTTGTTTCTAAAATATGCCAATCACACTCCTGACTCAGGGCCTTTGCCAGAGTTTTCTCTGCTGTCTTTTCTGGAATATCAGCGAGGTTCTAATCTTTCCATTCCTTTGTATCTCTTCTTACCTCCTCAGTGAAGCCTTTGTGATCATCCTATTTTAAGCAGCAACCTCACTGCCTTGGCTTGACACTGCTATTCCACTTCCCTATTTGTTTTACCGATAACGAATAAAGAAACATTTGAAACAATTTACATTTTACATGTTTGATTATTGAGCCTCTCCCTGCATTATGAAAGCAGAGGTTTTGGTCTATTTTTTTTTTCTGCTGCATTTTAATATCCCAGAACAGTGACTACGATATATTAGATTTGTAATAAATATTTATTTATCCCTTTTTAATTATAAAGCTTTGATTTGGAAAAAGAAGAAGACCTAAGATTTTTAAAATATATGTGGTATACAGTACTTCAATAGAAGTTGACATATTTAGCTTCTGGTAACGGTGAGAAATTACAAAGGAAACAGAAAAACAATATAGAATATAAACCTGTCTATCACGTAAAGTTTGAAGTCACCCATATTTAATCCCCATTCATTTCTGTTTTAACTCAGCCTGTTGTAAAGAGTTTGTTACTCCTTGGCTCATGTTCTCACAATTTTATGAGAAGATTTCTGATTCACTCCCAAGAAGGGACAGAACTGAACCCTCTTTGGATACATAACTACTGATGGAGAATCAGACTCCATCAATTGCCAAGAATTAAAGATTAGCATTTTGTAGTTGTTAACTCATTTCATCTCTGTTCTTTTAAATATTCTTCTTTAAATTTTCAATTGGTACCAATTATTTAATATTTCAAAAACTACAAGATAAAAAGTGAGTATATCTTATCTAACTTTGTTCCACTTTCTGGTGACAACTAATGTCACTAGCTTGATAGATAGGCTTCCACTACATTTTTTCTCATGGTTATAAATACCTGTTTTTTTTATAAATAGGACCAAACTATTTATATTTTCTATGAGTTGTCTTTTTGCTTAACCACATGGGATAGAAATCATTTCAAGATAGTACTTATAAATATATTCTATTATTTTACTTTTTTATTGAGTTCAGTATAATGAATGAACTATACATTCACAACAATTTCTTTATAGTTTTTTTTTTCTATTCAAACAATTCAAAAAATAGCAGAAATAAATACTTTTCAACATACATTGTCCTTATGGCTATATGTTAATAATTCTTTGGCTGAAATTCGTGGAAGTAGAGTTGCTGAAGCAAAGGACTTATGCATTTTAATAAGCTGTCAAATTCCTCAAAAAGCTATTTTGATTTATAATCCCTATAATTACTATCAGTGTATGAAAAAAGCCTACATTTTGACAACGCAGAATTTATACTTTTATTTGCTTATTTAAGGTATAGAATTTTAATTGTACTTTAAATTTCCCTATTTCATTTTAATTTCTCTGATTGCTAAGGATATGAATCATCTTTCTTTACACTTATTTGTTTTAAATGTTTTCCATGAATATCCTATTCATACCCAAAGCCTATTTTCATTTTATTGCTTTGTCTTTTTAAATGTTGATTTACATATATATGTTAAACATTAAAATGTTGTCTACTATGAACAAAAACTTTTATTTGAGCATTAACTTTTTTATTTTGTTTATGATTTATTTTTCATGGAAAAGTTTTAATTTATGCAATATCAAATTTGTTCATCCTTTCCTACATGAATTCTGAATGGAACTTGGAATTTCAGGCCTCAAAACTTCCTCACATCTCATTTCTTTTACTTTTAGTGTTGAACACAGGTGAATATAGAAAAAGTTTGACCTATAGATTTGTAAAAAGATAATTTATTTTATACATTAGAGTTTAAAACTTTTTTAAAGGATTTTGGCTTAAATTGGTAAATCATTACATATAAAATATATAAACTATCATAAAGTTATTCTTTCATTTTCTGATTTTCAGTATATAACACAATATAAAACAGTAAAATAACAGCTGGAAAACTCAGTTGTGAGAGCTTTGTAAAGATGCATATTCTCAGGTTCACTTGCAAAGTATGGATTCAATAGTTTGGTAATTAAGTCTAGGAATATATTACCAAGCACCTATGGTTATATTCTTAGATATTCTGATCTTTGAAAAATCTCACATTATTTTTATATAATTTTGATTATTAATGAGAATTCTATTAGTTTTTGTATAAGCAATACAAAGAAAATTGTATGAAATGTGTATTCAATGTTGCAATGAAAATACAGAATTGTAACTAGGAGATAATTTATAAGTCATCTGCAAAACATGTAAGTGTCAGATACTGTTTTTCCACGTATGTAATAGTACATAGCAAAAATGAGTTTGCTTTTGACATCTCTGAATAGAAACTAAAATTTTCGTCTTAGAAATATGGCTTGAACTTAGAAAAAAAGCTTCCTGCTGACCCTGATATTATCATTCTGTCTATTTTCTGGCCTGTCTCCTAAAACATAAATAGATAAGAAAGCTAGAGAGATACATCCTACCAGAATCTTTGTAAGTTTGGTTTAGAGAGCATATGTGTGGGCATGTTCAGTTTTCCTTTACTTGCCAAAGTACTATTGGGGACATTTCAGGGATATTTTGACAGAAGTAAATTATTATACCAATGGTTATAAACAATTACAGAGATGTAGAAGTAACTCCAGAAAACAGGTACTGTGTTAGTCTTTTTTCACATTGCTAAAAATACTTGAGACTTGGTAACTTATAAAGAAAATAAGTTTAATTGGCTCACAATTCCATAGGTAAGCATGGCCGCATCTGTTTGGCTTCTGGGGAGGTCTCAGAAAACTTAAAATCATGGCAGAAGGCAAAGGGGGAAGCAGGAACACCTTATATGACCAGAGCAGGAGGAAAAAAGAGAAGGGGAAAGTGCCATACACTTTTAGACAACCAGACCTCAGTGCTAGGTCAACGGTACTAAACCATTAGAAACCATCCCCATCATCCAATCACCTCCTACCAGGCCCCATCTCCAGCTTTCAGGATCACATTTCAACATGAGATTTGGGAAGGGGCACAAATCCAAACCATATTATTCTGCTCTTGGGCCCTCCCAAATCCCATGTCCTTTACACCTTGCAATATAAAATCCTGCCTTCCAAACAGTCCCTGAAAGTCTTAACGCAGTCCAGCACTAATTCAAAAGTCCACAGTCCAAAGTCTCACCTGAGACAAGGCAAGCTTCTTCTACCTATGAGCCTGTAAAATTAGTTACTGTAATTTCACTTTAAAATTTCACAGTAAAATTAGTTACTGCAATTACTGTAATTAGAGCCTGTAAAAGTTAGTTATTTCCAAGATACAATGGGGGTACAGACACTGGATAAATATTCCCATTCCAAAATGAAGCAGTCAGCGACAAAAAGGGGGGCTACAAGACTCAGGCAAGTCCAAAACCCAGCAGAGCAGTTGTTCAATCTTAAAGCTCCAACATAATCTTATTTGATTCCATATCTCACAACTTGAGCACACTGATGCAAGGGGTTTGCTCCCAAGGCCTTGGGAAGCTGTGCCTTTATGGCTTCTCTCAAGGGCTGGCATTGAGTGCCTATAGCTTTTCCAAGTACACGGTGCAAGCTGTTGGTGGACTTACAATTCCAGGGCATGGAGGATGGTGGCCCTCTTCTCACATCTCCACCAGGCAATGCTCCAGCTGGGACTCTGTGTGGGGATTCCAACCCCACATTGCCCCTCCACACTTCCCTAGTTGAGGTTCTCCATGAGGGCCCTGTGCTGCAGCAGGCTTCTGTCTGAACATCCAAGCTTTTCCATACATCCTCTGAAATCTAGGTGGAGTCTCACTAACCTCAACTCTTACACTCTGTGTACCCACAAACTTAACACCATGTGGAAGCCACCAAAGCTTACAGCTTGTACCCTCTGAAGCAGTGGCCCAAGCAGTACACAGGTCCCTTTGAACCATGGCTAGAGCTGGAGTGATCGGGACGTGAGAATCAGTGTACCAAGGCTGCACAGGGCAGTGGGGTATTCATCCTGACCCCAAAATCATTATTTCCTCCTACGTCTCCAGGCCTGTGATGGGAGGGGCTGCCTCACAGGTCTCTGAAATGCCCTCCAGGCCTCTTCCTTAGTGTCTTGCCTATCAGCACTTGCCTTCCTTTTAGTTATGTAAATTTCTGCAGCTGATTTCAATTGCTCCCTGAAAATGGGCTTTTATTTTCTATCACATTGTTGGGCTGCAAATTTTTCAAACTTTTACTCTCTGCATTCCTTTTAAATAAAAGTTCCAGTTTCAGGTCATTTCTTTGTTAATGCATATCAGATAGGCTTTTAGAAGCAGCTAGTCCACATACTGAATGCTGTGCTGCTTAGATAATTCTTCCATCAGATGCCCTAATTCATCACTCTCAAGTTTAAAGTTCCATAGATCCCTAGAGTAGAGGCACAATGCTGCCAACCTCTTTGCTGACACATAACAAAAGTGACCTTCACTCCAGTTCCCAGTAAGTTTGTCAACTCCATCAGAAACCTCCTCAGGCTGGACTTCACTGTCAAAAACACTATCAGCATTTTGGTCACAACAATTTAACAGATCTCAAGGAAGTTCCAAACTTTCTCTCATTTTCCTGTCTTCTTCT